TTTTTTTTTTGTAAAGAAATATATATTACATGTATATGCTGTGATTTCATAATATTGCTTATTGAGATATTTTTATCTCACTCCCTTATTACTCTCAAGATATTGAAGATATCGCTGCAGAGTGAGCGGTGATATGGAGAAATTTTTTGAAGTCTATACTCTGATATTAATGTTACTATTTTGTACTTTTATTTAGTAATGTAAATAAGAAAATTTAAAGTCTTATACATATATGTTATGTTTAATATTTAAGGAATGTAACGTTTTTACAACTTTTTTTTATTATTAATAAATTTAAGTTATTTTACTTAATTCGAGTTTATATGACTTAAGAAAGTATTATAAAGAAATATACTCCGGTCATTACTATATAAGACGGGATGTGGTATGTGACAATAATAATTAATCAACATGTATTTTTTGATAAAAATAAAATAATAAATAATACATTTATTAAAGGGTAATTTGATATTTAAGGTATACGTTAATATAAAAGATGATATGAGATTATAATTTATTAAGGATATAAGTTAGAGTTTTATAAAATGTTAAGGATAATTCTGTCTTTTAATTTAATCAATAACAACTATTTTTCAAAATTTTATAAATGATCTAAAATACAATTTGAAAGTTAATCATTTTAAAAAAATATTATAGTAATAAAATAATTTACTTATAAACTATTCATTGTACCAAAACACCTGAAAAATAACATTATTATAATACTTTCCTAAATAATATATTTCTAAAACTTACATATGATAAGGAAAAAAAAAGACAAATTAAATCAAGCACATTCTAGATTTACATTAAAAAAAGGAGGCAGACAAACTAACCTTTCCAATCTCTTCGAGTTTTATTAAATGCACATATTTTGATAAGTTACATAATAAATAATTACGTGATTTAACAAATGATAACTTGCCCACATACATGATTTCACGTGCTGTTAAAGTTTTCTTTGAGAGGTAATTACCATTAAAAATAATTAGGCTTAATATTCTCTCATAAACTGAACTAAATCAAAATTAATTATTTTAAAGTATCATTAATTAGATTGTAACCAATTAATCATCCCCAAAATTAACAATGTGATTGTTCCTGGATCGCCTTCCTCAGTAAATACTAGCCGCGCGGTGGCCCACAACACGTTTGATTGTTCCTGAAATATATTCCGTACTATACTCTCATCTGCCCGAATTTCCTCCGGGCAGCTCACTCGTCTCTTCTACAGTTTCACAGGCCAATCGTCACCGCCCGCGCTCGGACATTTGGCACATTCTCTTCTTGCCCGGAAATCCGCGGCAAATCAAACACGCTCATTCGACTCGTCCCGAGCACCTGACGTCCCTTCTAAGTGCTCTGAACAGCTTCACTGTCTGTATTTTCACCGACACGATCACAGACCGAAAAGGAAGGAAAGAAAGAATCAAAAGTGAAAGTCATCGTAGTGGAAAGTGATAAATGCTTGATACTATAAATTGAGTCAGGGAGATACGACTATTCTTGCCAGTAGTCACTATCTCATTTCATTATAATCCAAACGTTGAGGTGTTCAACGCTGATTAGGGACGATAAAGAAGTGGATTAATAGTCCGTTGAATCTGTCATTTTACAAATTCAGCTCTTGTTTTGGTTAAACTTCCTGGATCTTGAAATCTAGGGCGCAGAATGTGGAGTCTTGCGAGACGCGCGGCCTCCAAGTTGGCCCGATCCAGGCGCTTCTCGACGGCGATTCCTGGTCCTTGTATCGTTCACAAGCGCGGTGCTGATATCCTTCATGATCCCTGGTTCAACAAAGTTGGTTTCTCTCACTTTGACTTACTCTTCTCTTCTTAGTGAACTTTTCTGCTATTTTTTTAGTGGGATTTTGTTGTATTTGGAATTGATTTTCTGTGTGATTCTCTGGTTAATGCTTATGTGAAGTTTTAATTTCCAAGAATCCTTGTCTCTGTGAGCATGTGGTATCTTTCCCATTATGCGGGAAAGTTGCTTAAATGGTCCGTTTTCCTTAGAGTGTGTTCACGAGGTATTTGGTTGCAGTCGTCAATATTTACACAACTTTTAATATAATTAGTCGTCTTGATACTCTGTGAAATTGAAAGATTGAGCTTACGATTGCCTGTGTCTGAAAAGGATAAGGTTCTGTATTCGAACCTGTGCTGCCAATGAATAGTTCATTAGGAGCTAAGTCTTTTCCCATCTGCACTGTTGAGAGCAGGATACTGGCTTTCCACTGACTGAGAGAGACAGGCTAGGACTTCGTGGTCTTCTTCCACCTCGAGTAATATCGTTTGAACAACAATATGATCGATTTAGTAAGTTCAATACCTGTCCTATCTGGCATGTTATTGTTTGCATTTCATTTGAGTACTGATATTATTGGTGTGGCACTTATGCAATTAGCCTAGGAAATGTGTCACTGTGTGTGATTTATGCCTTTCTTTAAAAAATCTGTGCTAATTGTATTCATCTCTTAAGTCTTTGGCTTTTTTTGATGTAAACCACCCAGATAACATTATGTGTATGCATATATGGTTTGACATTAAGGATAAATTCTTGGTTGATTACATTACTAGTGCAAGCAAATTATAAATTACGTTGATTACACATGCAAACACATGCTTAATATTGCTTACATACATGCTCAAACTAAAGGTCAATTATGCTAACAGATTAATGTACCAATGCAAATGAATTAGTAAATAAGGTTGATTACACACTTTTTCTTTTCTTTTTTATGGTGAAAGAAAAAATATAATTATTTACAAGCAACAAGGGAGTGCAACCTGTATACAAAATTTACATATTGAGCAAAATATCTGTAAGGTCCCCAAAATACTCTCTAGAATAAGTTGATTATACATGTTTCAGGGTTGGTAAAAACAAATTAGTAAATATGAATTTTCTTGTATTAACATGCAATGTGTCTTTTGTCTAAAATACATGTAGGCTTGCAGTTGCTTGTTATTCTATTTTATTCTCTCTCTATTCCTCTCGTGGCTTTGGAATTTCTAGGATACTGAAATGCTGCATATCTTATTTTTTGAAATAATGAAATACTGTATATCTTTTTTTTTTTGAAAGAAAAAGTTAGAGAAATACTGTATATCTTAGGATCTATTTGTCTAATTTATCCCCAAAAGTTTTTTAGTTAGTCTGCCCATATAAAGATTTGACCTTGTTTAATATCAACAGTTCTATATTTGATGTGTTTTTGAAGATTTCCTTTTTTTTTTTAACTTTCAGTGGAATCGTATCGATCACTAGAAAAAAACACTCAAGGCCAGCCAGATAATGTTGTGGCATTAGCAAAATGGAGAATTTTAAATAGATTGCATGACCGGAATGAGACTTTATATTACCGGGTAAGTTTGATGTGTTTTTCCAGGTTGTAAATGTAGGAGTTCAGAAATTTGCTGCTATAAACAGTAATAAACTGCATTCCCTGCAGGTCCTTATTGACAACATCAAAGACTTTGCTCCTATAATTTACACTCCTACAGTTGGTTTAGTTTGTCAGAATTATTCAGGCCTATTTAGACGTCCACGCGGTATGTATTTCAGTGCAAAAGACAAAGGAGAGATGATGTCTATGATATATAATTGGCCAGCTCAGGAGGTAATATATGAATCTTTTAAAGGTGCTGGACAACATATATTGTTCTATTCATTTCTGCAACTCCTTGAAAGCTACAAATAACTGATGATCTTAATAAGCTTCTGCATGATCAGTGGTAAACTTTTTGAATTCTTTGGAACCTAAGTTAGTAATGAAAGGATTTAGTTTAGAAGAGGGAGCAAGATGCTAAATTAATAATCCCTATTTTGTTTTCATGTTTTCTATGAATATTATACTTTACACTTTTTATCTAAAAAAAAAAAACAAATTTTGTTTTCATGTTTTACAGAAAAATGTATTGGAAATCCTTATTTCTCTTATATGGTTATGTCCGTTTGGAATAATATCTTTAATAGCAAAGTTTTACTGAATCCTGACCTTTAATGTTTTGCAATATGACTATTCATTGAAATCATTTGGTTTATAATGATCTTGAAAACTCGTGTATTTTATTACCTTATGAGATACTTGGGTAAGGTATCCTTGACTGCAGTGTTGGACCAAGAAATGGCCTAGCTACCATACCTTTAATTTTGCTAATTAGTTACAATTTTATTGATGACTTTGTGGAGGTTAATTAAAGCATTTGATTCTTTCACGTATAATTTTTCCAAATCAATTTCTATGAATGATCTTTTCATTTACATTTTCAAAACAGTATCTGAGTGTATGTAACAATTGGCACTTTTTCGAGCTTATGGAAATCTATTATGTTTTTTTCATATCAATGTCTTCTCTACTATTTTTTTTCTTTTCATGCAGGTTGACATGATAGTCATAACAGATGGAAGTCGTATTCTTGGTCTAGGTGACCTTGGAGTTCAGGGAATTGGAATTCCTATTGGAAAACTTGATATGTATGTTGCTGCAGCTGGTATCAACCCACAGAGGGTATGAGTTATCTTCTCTCCGTATTTCTTTCTCGTGTGTGCGTCAGTTGTGGCAGGTGGTTGGAAGCTGACACTTGAGCCTCATTCTTTTCTTTATCTAAATTTTTATACAAACATTACCATGATCAACATCGTTATGTGTTGTGAAAATGGTTCACTTAGTGCCCTTATTTCTCAACTTTTATGTGCGTTATGGACATGGCCACTATTCTTTTTCTTTTGAGTAATTTTAAAGACATAAATATTCATAAACCAGCTGACATATTGTCTTCATGATTTCTGAAAGTGTTTTGTTCGGACATTGGATTTTCATGCTTCAGTTAATTATCAAGTTTTTCCATGTGTGACAGATACTACCAGTAATGCTTGATGTTGGTACAAACAATCAGAAGCTACTGCAGGACCATCTCTGTCAGTAAAATTCATACATCAGTATTTGGTCTCGCATTTTGTTGTCTTCATGCAGAAACTGGACCAAATAAAATGCTTTCATCCCTCTTCTTATAAGAAATTTCAGTGTAGTTACCTTTTTCTTTTCTCTGCACTTGCAGATTTAGGACTCAGACAACCTAGGTTGGAAGGAGAAGAATATCTGAAGATTATTGATGAATTTATGGAAGCTGTTTCCAAACGGTGGCCAAAGGCTATTATACAGGTTTATTTCTTCCTGAAGTATTGGTTTTCTTGTTATGCTTTATTCTATACTACAGCTAACTCGATGATTGTGCTAAACTTATCAGTTCGAGGATTTCCAAATGAAGTGGGCTTTTGAAACTCTGCAACGATATCGGAAAAGGTTTTCCATGTTTAATGATGATATACAGGTGCGTGTTTGATTTAAAATCCTTCTACTCTATATCATCCTCAAAAACAGGTAATGAGTTGGCTAGTGCTGTGGTACGAGAATGATTATGCTTTATCTCTTACAGGGAACTGCTGGCGTTGCACTGGCAGGATTACTTGGAACTGTAAGAGCACAAGGTCGACCTTTGTCTGACTTTGTGAACCAAAAGATAGTTGTGGTGGGAGCTGGGAGGTACTTTAAAATTATGTTTGTTCTAACTATCCACATTTTTCTAAGGGAGAGAAAACTTATTTTACCTTCATGTACTCATATTTTTCAGCTTTATCTTTGATCTTATTCTCTTTTCTTTTATGTTTCTCGTTTTCAGTGCTGGGCTTGGTGTTCTTAAGATGGCTGTACAGGCTGTCTCAAAAATGTCAGGGAGTAGCGGGACAGCTGCAACGAAAATTTTTTTCCTAATTGATAAAGATGTGTGGTTCTGGCCTTTCTTATCTACTGTTCCTGCTTATATCTGTTCAAAATGCATATGTGGATTCTTTCAAATAATGAACTTCTAACCTTCCAATGATTATGCAGATTATATTTTCAAGAATTATCTTTGGCTTTATGGCCTGATCTTCTCTCTTCATTTGTTTCCTTCTATTTCGCACAATATAGTAATAGTTAGAAATGCATGGGCCTGTTCATGAACATGAACTATTCATTTTGCTACATATGAATGCTACAAAAAATTTATGTTTGCATCTCTACCAAAAACTTATTCCTGCTTGTGTCATAGGATCATCTGTGAAAGTTTTGCTTTTCATTAGTTTGAAAACAATTTAATTGCGTGCAGGGTCTCATCACAAAGGAGAGGAAGAACCTTGATCCAGCGGCAGCACCATTTGCTAAAGATCCAAGTGAGATTACTGGACTTAGGGAAGGAGCTAGTCTAGTTGAAGTGGTAAGATTTATAATGTGCGGTTGGCAACCACTATTAATTCAGGCTTCTCTTGCATGGAAATCACCATATTTTGCTGCAATTGTCCAATTCGCATTGAATATTGAAACATCCTAAACTTCTAAGCATGAATGATGATCAGGTTAAAATGGTCAAGCCCCACGTTCTTCTTGGGTTGTCTGGAGTTGGTGGCATCTTCAATGAGGAGGTAGATCCTTATTAATCATATCTCTTCCTTTCTATAATTTTTTACCTCCTCCTCATGTTAATTAAACTTTTGAATGTACCTAAAAATGTCTCTGAAAATCTTGATTGCTGTCTGCAACTGCATTACTTTCTTTTTAATGTGATTCAAGGGCTTTATAGCACATAATACTTTAGAAACATGTATTTCGTATGAATCTGAGCTGAGCTGTGTGTTTCTCTGGCATATGTTTCATTAATTTCTTTTATACTTTAGAGATGACTTTAATCTTTTCCTAAACACTTGGAAAATATTATAAATCATTTATACTGTAATCACATCCATAAACATATGTATGGATTGCTTCTCTTCTCAATTCGGATGTGACAGTATAGCGTTCATGTTTTGATGTGTTACTAAACAAGTGTCAGTTGCCATATTAACAGGTTCTTAAAGCCATGAGCGAATCTGATTCAACTAAACCTGCCATTTTTGCCATGTCAAATCCCACCATGAATGGTTTGTATCTGCTAACTCTGTTTATCTCAAAAAAAAAAAATCTATCTGCTAACTCTGTCAATTGTCCATCTTCATTGCTTCTACATGTCATCTGTTAACATTTTCTTTGTGTTTCACTGAGCAGCTGAATGCACTGCAGAGGAGGCTTTTAAGCATGCTGGAGAAGATATTGTTTTTGCAAGTGGAAGCCCTTTCAAAAATGTTGATCTGGGTTTGTTTCTTTCCTATTGACTTCATTTCATGAGAGGCACAATACATTTAAAGTAGACTGCTTTTCTTTTCCTTAATAATGGAGCTGTTGCAAGCTACATCGAGATATGCATATTCAATAATTTGTTCTTTCTGATGTCTGACTACTACACACTTCAACTATCATTTGCATGCTGGCAGGCAATGGTAAAGTAGGCCATGTAAATCAAGCAAATAACATGTACCTCTTTCCTGGGTTGGTGCTTTTGTCTTGTTGGTTCTTATTTTTGTCATTTGGGAAACTCTGCTTGAAAATGTTTGACACATTATTTATTCCTTGTGATTCAGAATTGGCTTAGGAGCTCTTCTCTCGGGTGCTCGTATTATAACAGATGGAATGCTGCAAGCCGCTGCTGAATGGTAAAAGAAAAAAAAAACAAAAATTTATCCACATGCTGTTTTGGCCTAAGATTGCTGCATTTATATACTAGCTTACCAGAATTCACATAGAAGAAAGCCTTCATAAAATAGTAATGCCAGGGTTTTATAACTTCCATCTAATTTTTCGATCAATGTGTCGTTCTGATCTTTGTGCAGCATAATAAGCTGATTTTGTAGATTGTTAAGGTTTCTTAGAAATAAAATAATATATGATAATAGAGATGACAAATAGTTTTCTGTGACTGATCATCTCAAAATCTTAAATCTGATGTGAATCAACTAAACTTTATTGTTTGTACCATAGGTTATACATACTCCTGCATGTGCAAGTTCATTAGGCTGAAAGTTCAGGCATAGCATGGGTCCACTATTTGCTGAAATCTAATCATTTTGATGAAAAGAAAAACAATCATGATGTAAACTTTTTCCTCTAGCTTCTATATCTGTAAATAATTGAATTAGGTAACTGATAATTGAGTTTAAGCTGATAGAAAATGAACTTAACTTTATTATTTATATATTCTAATGGATATTCTTTAGAAATTTGTAAATGGCAAATTTCTAGATTTAGTAGGTTTTGTATTGTATTGCATTGCTTAAGCACATATGGAATTCCATTATAGGGCAAAATCAAATGGTTGTTAATAACATAATGTATACAGTTATAAGTTGCAAACTTGAGTTCTTAAAGTTCTATCATGAATTATTGACATTTTCGATTTGAGGGTATATCTTGTCACAAAACACAAGTGCTGACATAACGTTTTGTACAGTCTTGCTTCTTACATGACAAATGAAGAAATCCAGCAGGGGATCCTCTATCCTTCTATCAACAGGTAATAATCTGTGCTTTTCCTATCCCTTTTACTTTTATTTTGGTGAGGGGATAGCCCTTCTATAATTTGAAGTATTCAGACCCAAACTTTTCCACTCACCCACAGTTTTGAGAGCACGAACTATTGCCGCCTAGGTTATTCACTCCTTTCACTTGTCTTCTGCAACATTTGCCCTATTATTTCTTCCAAGAACTAATTGCAAACCTAGTGACTATTTTATAGCAGTTTAGTCATTGAGATAGTTTTCTGCTTTCATTCACACCCAAATCTTTGGAGAAACTTTCCTTCTCTTTTGCAACTTAGTTGAGGCCCTGTGATACAGTTGCATCTACTGCTATATCCTAGTAGACCTATGGCAATACCTAAGACAAGAAAGGGAAGCAAGGGAAGGGAACAAGGGAGAGGAAGAGGGAAGGAAAGAGTACAGGAGATAGAATAAGAGAGAAGAAAACTCAATTCTCATACAACTTCAACATTTATAGCTGACAACTGATATAATTTCTGACAGTCATAAACAATTATCTATTATTTCAGTTAGAACTATTCTACCGTTAAATTTGTTAGGATTCCTCATATCAGACCCTCCCCTGTTTGAAATACCCTTAAGAACTCAATTCTCATACAATTTCAACATTAAAGCTGACAAATTTCTGACAGTCATAAACAGTTGTCTGTTATTTCAGTTACAACTATTCTACCCTTCAATTTGTTAGAATTCCTCTGTCAGACCCTCCCATGTTTGAAACACCCTTGTTATCAAGGGTGAGTATGTCTAGATAACTTTGGTGGAGGTCGTTGAGATACTTCTGTCTAGCGTCATCAGATGAGGTGACTGATTATTGAATCAACAGTTATGTAGGAGTATGCCCTCTTCTAACCATTTGAAGATCTGGGTTAGCGATTGGGACTGGCTGATAAGTTAAGTTAGCTAGTGCCAGGGTATGCTGTCGATCAGGATTCAGACACAATTTGAGCTGAGAAAGGTGAAACACAGGATATATAGCAGCTCAAGGAGGGAGGTCCAATCAATAATCCGAGGGCACAATTTTTTGGAATGACCCAAGGGTAAAATTTTTTAGAACAATCCAAGGTAAAATTTTTGAGAATAACCCAAGGGTACAATATTGATTTAATTCCAATAAGTGGCATAGCAGGTAGGAGATTGGTTTGAAGTATAATTCAAAACAATTCAAATTAAGAAATTACAATTCCACCAGTACCTTTTATTTGATGAATTCAATATTTCATGTCTCAAAAGATTGGTTCGGAATAAGAAGAGATTGTCCTAAACTAATTGAGACATGACTAAGGGGGAATACATCAGGATGTAAAATGTGTAATTAGTGCAACCATACAGGTGGTTTTGCTGTTTTGTTTGTCAGATATGAAAAAAAATGTCTAATCTTACAGACTCCACTTAGTTTAATGATATTTGTATTACACAGTATTCGACATATAACAGCAGAGGTTGGAGCTGCTGTTGTGCAAGCAGCTGTTGCAGAAGAAGTGGCAGAAGGGCACAGTGAAGTTGCACCCAGAGAGCTTGAGCACATGTCAAAGGTTAGTTGAAGTCAACCTCTTGTTTTAGAGCAGACTCGCTGAAGTATTTATGGTACTATTATTGCCACTGATCATGTCAATTCAAGTCTCATGATACTAGGGCTATATCTGAAACAAATATTGAAATTTTGTGGAGTTCATTTGCATATTCAAACTCAATTTAATCAGAAAATAATAAAATTCCTATATAAAATAATAAAGTTAACCCTAATTAGAATCCTATATAAAATTACAATTATAAATTTATATTTTACATGAGTTGATGAAATTTTAAGTACATTATTTAGGTTCTATTTGACATTTGATATACGATCAACTTTTATTGTCGTTTAATAAAAAAAATGTGAATTCATAAACAAATTTTTAAAAATTTTTACTTTTGTTCCAAGATAGGATAAAAAAAATTTATTACTCTTTGCATTCAGATTTCAGAATGACTTCATTTAATCAACTATGTTCAAATAAACTACATTAAACGGCAGAGTTATTATTAGACCTTAAATAGCTTATGGAGGATATTAAATAATGGTATGTCAACATTTCCCTAACCAGCAGGGTGAACACCACCATGTCAACGACTCAGTTGTCGACAGTCAATGAAACGTTTATGCATATTTACTTTTAGAAGCAGTTGCCTTATTTTTCTGAATTCATCCACGTTGTTGAATTGCAGGAGGAGACAGTAGAATACGTGACAAGCAATATGTGGTACCCTGTTTACAGTCCCCTTGTCCACGAGAAGTAATTGACCCCCAGTCTTATGTTGCTTTCCTAAATTGATTACTTCACCAGCTTTGGAAAGCAGCATTGAAGTGTGGGGACGCCAAATAAGTAATTGATCCCCATAATTTATTTATTATGCAGGAATTTTTTCTAATTTGATAATGTATAAATTTTCTTCTTCTTCTTCATTATACTCTAGAGATAAATATGCAAATTAACCAGCCGATTCTTCTGGTTGGCTACGCTGGGCTGGGTAAGATATTTTGGTTGGAATTGGCAAATCGTGTCTAGCTATTCCTGGAAATGAAAAGGATAGGGGATAAAAAGGAGAAATTGATAAACAGTACTGGGAGTTTAGATGCAGGAGGATTCACGAATTGTTTTGGGGTCAAAAGATGTTCGAATTCCTAGTGGAACAGATCTATACCAGAATATTCTTGATATAAAGTTAAAATAATTTCTCATGTACTTATATTGATTATAAATAATTTCTGTATTATGGAATGTGCTATAATTTAGTCTTAATTTTTTGGGTCATAATTTAATTCTCAGTTTACAAAATTGTTTCAAAATGTAATTTTGTACAAAATATTTTATAATAAGTGATTTAGAAAGTACAAGGAGTTTTCTATTTAAGATTGGTAATTGAAAAAGAAGTTAGGAAAAGGGCAAATTTCTTTTTCTCCATTGATGTTTTTTATTACTTATATAATTTTCAAACATCATTAAAATAAAAAATAAAAGAAAATAGAAGAATTTTTATCATACAATTTTATAATTGTATAAAAATTATTATTCATGAACTGAAATAATAAGTTTTTCCTAAATTTTTTAACTGTATTTCCACCTCAAATTTTGGTTTATCGACAGTAAAGATCCTTTAATAGTTTTCTTAGGAAAAAGATTCTTTTGTTGTAATTATTTGTAGGCTTGTTTTTTTAATTAAAATAATTAAGTCTTTATATTTTTATTATTTGATATATACACTTGAATAGCATTTATTAATGCGCACACATGTACGTTGATATTTTTATTTATAGTTTATAAACAAAGTAATATACCCCAAAACAAATAAATTATTCACTAGTTTATAAAAAATTTAATAGACTTTACCCTCATGTAAATTAAAAAGTTAGGAACAAATTAAATTACCCATTAAAAAATAAATAAAAATAAAAATAAAAATAATTAAATTCTTATGAATAAATTGGATACTACCCTTCAATAAATACTAGTACTGGAATATCTTTGGTGAATGCTGACGACACGTTGCCTCACTTCATTATTTATTTTTTGCGGTTCATATTTTTTGTATTCTTATTCTTGTCTCTTCTCCTTCCAAAACTTTCCTCCTATTTATTTTCCTTGCGTGCTTCTGCACTTAATTCACTTTTCATTGACAAAAGCAATATAATATACTGTACTTTCTCGTATCTTAAAATAAGGAACGTCTTTCACTGTCATCCATGGCTGCAGAGACAACGAAGAAGTAAACCCTTAATTATGTTCAGTTTCAGATACTGTTTATGACCTTCTCAAAGCATTAATAAAACTTAGTACGTCATTATTGTTGTTTCTTCTTGGATTAGATATGCAATTGTTACAGGGGGAAATAACGGAATTGGATTTGAGATCTGTAAACAATTAGCATCAAATGGAAATACCGTGATTTTGACTGCAAGAGACGACAAGAAGCGACTCCAAGCTGTGGAGAAATTGAAAGAATGCGGACTCTCTGATAACACAGTTTTTCACACACTTGATGTCAATGATCAAACTACTATTTCTTCTCGTCCATTTTGTCCAAACCCAATTTGGAAAGCTTGACATCTTGGTAGATATATATATATATACACATTATATTATTCTATATATTAAATAAATTATCGTGTATTTTTTTTTTTTTTATTGTAGATTACATGAGGAAAATTGAAAACTTATATACGAAACTGCAGAAATGATCTATTGGAATGTGGTCGAACTCGTAGGTGAATAATGCAGGGATTGCTGGAGCCCTGATGGATGGTGAAAGTCTAAGAGCTGCAGTACTTGGTAAGTTGCGTAGTCATTATCTACACACACACACACACACACACACACACATATATATTTAAGTGTTTATGGTATAAAAAATATAGAACATATTTATGTTACCTACGTAGAGGTGATCTATATTAGATCTAAAGTAATTTATGTTAAAATGAAAAATATATATATACATATAGCCTGAGTGTTTTGGTGAAATATTTACAGTTTCCATATGCGAAGTGCAAGTGTTTATACATACATATATATATATATATAATTGTCGCAGGAACCATCAGAAATTAATGATGAAGAAATAATTATTGATTACATTTATGAATTAGCAGAAGAATGTATTCAAACAAACTATTATTATGGTGCAAAGAGAATGTGTGAAGCATTTATTCCTCTGCTTGAATTATCAAATTCACCCAGAATCGTTAATGTTTCTTCAATGGTAGGCAAGTTAGAGGTAAGACACTTTCTCCAACCCTTTCTCTATATATCTTTCATGGTCTTACTCCATCACTAACTACATATATAATCTCTTTCAATATATATATATATATATATATATATATATGATCAACTAGTTGATGCTAATATGTTTTACATATAAACTTACTTTTTTCTATTCCGTTGCAGAATGTATCAAATGAATGGATGAAAGAAGTGTTAAGTGATGCAGAAAATCTTACCAAAGAAAAAATTGACAAAGTACTGAATGACTATCTAAAGGATTTTAAAGAAAAATCATTAAAATCCAAAGATTGGCATTCTTTTGTTGCAGCGTCTATGAATGCATATACGAGAATTTTGTCAAAAGAATATTCATCGTTTTGTTTTAATAATACATGTTCTGAATATGGCAGGATAAATATTACCTATAATATTGACATTTTATTTCCGGAAGAAGGTACCGAAAGTTCTATAAAATTGACATTGTTGCCTAATGATAGCTCTTCAAGTCTCTTTTTTGATCGTAACAAAGAGTCATCATTTTAATTTATTAATAATTTGATAAAGTATTTTCTGAAAAAATAAATTAGAATTGATGAGTGTTTAAATTTGTGTTTTCTTTCTTTCTTATAAAATAATCAAATAAAATTTTAAATTCTCGATTTTACTATTTAAGATCTTTGTCTTCTTATAATGCTAATGATAAATTAATAATATAGTATAATTGTACAAAGAAATTGTTCAGTTGTGAAATAAACAAGTTATCAAATAAAATAATATTGGATAGTTTTATTACCTCATACATTTTTTTTTCATAATTAAAGGTATTTCCTGATCATTTTTTTCACTCAGAAACTAAATCTAATACATCTCAAATTTTATTTTTCTGAGTGTTAGTAATAAAAATTAAACTCAAATAATTAGGTAGATAATATACTTAATCACCAAATGGATTGACCATTCTTGATAATCATGTCAGACCTTTATACTACCAATAATTGATAATACTAAAGCTTACCATCCAAGCGACATACAGGACACATAGTTTAATTTGAATTGATAACTAATCTCACATAAGATATGTGAAAATATCAATCATTCATCTAAAAAAAATTTAATCTTTAATCTTCATCTTAATCTGTGAAATTAGGATATTTGATGATATCAAATTAGTACCACTATATGATCTTGGAATGTAAAAATTTTTATCTTTAAGATATATTATTCGAGATAAAAAATAGTTTAGATATATGTGTAAAAAAATTATGTCAATTTAAACGACCGACCAAGTCAAGAAAAGAATATACTATCAAAGAGTCCAAAATTTCAAAAAAAATTCAAGAACAACACATGAAAAAATCTCTCAAATCCGTGAGAGATTCTCCCCACTCAAGAGAGATTTTTCTCTCAATGAGAAAAATTTCCTTTTCTTCTCAATATCTCTCAAATGGTAAAAATAAAACCAAGATAAAAAAATTACAAGAATATATCAAGGGAGAAATAAAGATATTTTCAATAAATTAAGAAATTTTCAAGAGATGTTCTTTAAATTAAGAAATCTTAAAAAGATTTTTTTTTTTAATTTAAAATATCCTCACTATTTAAGAAGTTTCCTTAAAGGATAACATATATATCATATTATGGTTAGAATATTCTTAATTATAATTTTATTTCTATTTTAGTTTTGATTTATTTTTCTATGTACGATTTTTACAATTAATTAAGTGATTTATTTTTTTATATTTCATACGATCTATAAATATAAATAGATTTTTAATTTATGAATGTAATTATTCAAGTTTAATTATAATAAAATTATAAAATTTTAATTTTCGGTGTTAAGTGAGATTGTGAGTTTTTGATCACATTGTTGATTCTAAGTTTTGTATCAAACAAGAAATCCCAAAACCATTTTTATCATATATATATATATATATATGAACATAATAAAACCAAAAATTACTTCATGTTAATTTTTTGTTTTTCAAAATAATATTTCTAAATGTAAAAATACTAATATGATAATGTCTATAATTATTTATTTATATTTTTAATGTAAAAATAAAATTTAATTTTTAGTTGATTATAAATTATATGCTACAAAGGGGATAGAGCACATGAAATGGAGAAACTAAAATCAAAAGTAGAAAACTAACCAAAAAAATAAAAACACACACACACACACACACACACCACACGGTGAGAGAGAGATTAAGAATGATATGGATATAATAAGATAATTTTTAGGGTAAACGTTATAAATTTAAAGATAATTTCATAAAATATTAATATATTAAAATTTTAAATAAATTTAAATAATAAATATAATAACATGACTTTATTATAATACAAATAAACATATATTTAAAAATTATAAACAGATTGCCCATATTTTGATTAGAGAGACAATAATGTACTCAATAATATCTTACACTCATATTTGAGCTTGATCTACACTATGAAACTTAAGTTTTAAATTATAGCGCATTTTATCTAAAAATATACATTTTTTTTCTTAAAAGCTTCTTTTTTTTAAAAATATATATGTATATTATATGCAGTTATATAATTTTTTAAAATTAAAATATATTTTTATTTCAGAAATCATAAATAGTATTTATTATATGTTAGAGGAGTTAGTTAAAACATGCAAATATTATTAAATGACAGTGAATATGATTAGTTAAAAATATATATATATATATATTAAATATTCTAAAAGTATTTTTTTATTATTTAATGAAAAATTGAAGGATCTTTATAAAATTTAGGAAAATCTTGTTATTTTAGTTCGTGAATTCTATTTTTTATACAATTATAAAAATTTTTTGATAAAAATTAATTGATTGTATCAATGAATTCAATTTACCAAATTAGTTAAAACAAACAAAAAAAAAAAAAAAAAGAATCTTGGACGGCAAAGATATGTCCTTATCTTAAATTGGAAATACAAAAACACTTGGACAATGTTTATGGGAAATTTATTTATAGTTAGATATTATTTTAATTTAAAAAATAAATTTAACAAAATGTGAAACTTACTTTTAATTTTATTTAAAAAATAAAAAGAAATTATACTAATTTAAAAAAATAAAACAGTCATTAGATGAAAATCTTATATGAATTTATTTATTTATTTTCAAAATTTGATGTAAATTTTTATTAATTTTTAGTTCAATAAATATAATTTATAAGTAAATCTAATGTAAAATTTAAATTAATTTCAGATATAACTTTAATTTTTAGCAAATTTATACTAAACTATGTTATATAAATAAAGTAAAACCACATAGGAGTGATCGTTTTACTGAAATATATGATAGTATAATTTTATTAATGAAATAAAAATTTTCATTTTGTAAGTATCTTAATGACTTAATTTATTAATGCGTAAGAGATTATGCAATGATCAAATTAAGTTTGAAGCTAATGAATCGTGCATATTTGGACAAATAAATTTTTTAAATAATTAAATAATTAATAGTCGACTTC